TGCCCCGAGTGCTCTTTCTCTTCTTGCTGGCTCTGCTGACCCAGCCAGGTTAGTCGTGGGGAGGGGCTGGGACCAGAATGGAAACTGGAGGGGCACAAGAACTCAGATTAAGAACTCAGCCAAGAGCTGCCAAAGGCAGCAGCCAGGACTGGGGGAAGGCTGTCAGGGGTTGGACTGGGGACCTCTGGGCCCAGGTGGCTTTACACTGGGGTGGGAAGTAGGTGTGGTGGGTAGGGAAGGCTGAGTCAGACAGCTGGGTTGGAAGCCAAGGAGTCCGAGCACCAGGGCTGATCCCTCTTTCCGCTTTAGGTGATGGCAACCAGGGCAGTGCCACTGGGAGCTGTTCCTGTGGTAAGACAATTGCTCCTGGCACCCTGGTACCGCCTGCTACCTTGACTCATATCCGAAAACACCTGAAAGCATACGATCGCTGTCCGTTCCTCATCAGGTACTGTCTCATCCGTTCGTCCATCCGTCCGTCTGACCCCCACCCTCCGGCCCCCGGGAGTTACAGGACCATCACAACCTGAACACCCAGTGATGATGGGGGAGCCTAGCTCCTTACTAGTTTCACTTATCTGGGGATTTCCAGTCCTAATAGTGCCTACTTACCTTGGGTGACTTCACACCTTTGGAATGAGGAAAAGTAGGGAGGGGAAGGAGTGATCATAGGAGACTAGATTGATCCTCTTACAGGTTCCACTTAAAGTCCACGAGTGTGTGTGGGAGAAAGCAAGACCAGTGGGTCCGTGAAGTGATAAGCTGCTTTGAGAACAAAGGTGAGAGCCTCTTCTGTCCTCCAGTGGGCCACGTCTTATAATCTCCTTTGCCTCTGCCACACCACACAGCACTTTCCTATTTAGAAGCTTCTAACTGGCTTGAAATACTTTCACTAAAGTTTGTGTCTTCTCAATGTCCCTGTCATCTTCCTGGTTTCAGCCAATTTGTTCTACCACACATGCCATTACTTAATATTTTCTTTTTTATTTCATGTGCATTCATATTTTGTGTACATGTATGTCTGTGTGGAGGTGTTGAATCCCCTTTAACTGGAGTTAACGCAGTTGTGAGCTGCCATGTGGGTGCTGGGAATTGGATCCAGGTTCTCTGGAAGAACAGCCAGTACTCTTAAGTATTGAGCCATCTCTCCAGCCCTACTTAATATTTTCTTGAAATTATAATATAAAGTGTACTTGAGATTGGTCATGTGTTCTAACATTTAACTGTCACCCTGCATTTTAGACAGTTTCAGACAGGGTTTGGCTAAGTTGGCCAGGATGGGCTTGAACTTGGTTTTTTTTTTTTTTTTTAATGTGTAAAAATTACCTTTATTGCTGGGATGGAGGATCTTAGCCTGAATAAGATTGACCCTCAGAATGCACAAGGTACTGGGTAGAATGGGCCTTACCTTGAAGGAAAATGTGAGTGCTCAGAAGCTGAGACAACCCCCAAGAGTGGCTTGAGGCAAGAATGCCTATTCTTTCCAAATTTAGGAATTAGTTAACTGACTTCCCATCTTGAGAATCAGTAGGAGGAAAGGGAAGAAGGGAAACTGAGTGGGGACCTTAGAGTAAAATCCTTAGTGGCAAAAGAAGTGGTCAGTTCTCTTTTCATATTTTTTTAAAAAAATAATGGACCATAGTATTTTTTAAGTCACATAAAGTGAATACCCAAGCAAAGGCTGCAATGGAATGTGGTTTCTTTTTTCTTTTCTTCCCCCCCCCCCAACAAGACAGGGCTTTGGACCCTGTCCTAGAACTAGCTCTTGTAGACCAGGCTGGTCTGGAACTCACAGAGATCTGCCTGCTTCTGCCTCCCAAGTGCTGGGGTTAAAGGCGTGCGCCACCATCTTCTGGCTAGGAGTGTGGTTTCTTGGGTATCAAACTACTACACAGCAGGGTTAGTGTGGTAGGGCTCAGTGAGACTGCTGCCCATAGAAGGCTCTGCTGGCTGCGTGGTCCTTGGGTGGCGTCTGGGAACAGAGTTGATGAAAGCTCCTCATTGTGTCTAAACTGTGTGCACAGTATTCACTTTACTTCTTGCAGTCTAGAGTTTCCATATGTGTTAAACAGAGAATGCTTGCATGACCGTTCCCAGGTGAAAACTCTGGGGAGTGAGGTTACTGAGCTTCCTTTAGTTCATCCCTGCTCACATTATACGCCCCAAGGTTCCCTACTGGGAGCACTTCAGGAGTGTCTGCCAGGTCTTCTCTGCCCTTTGTCCACAGGAGATTCCTCTGCTGACTTTGTTTTGTGTCATTTTTGTTGTGACAACTCTTAGTTGTGGCTGCTGAGGCCAAAGAATCTCCCTAAAGAATCACTGAGCTGACAGTAGTCTAGTGGACTCTGACACCGGGTAACTCTGTGGTAGCTGAGTGTGGGCAGCCCATAGCGCCTGCTTCATTTTCCTCCCATGTCCACCTCTGGACCCGATGCCATTCTTTCTTAGATGAAGGACACTGGTGTCTTCTGTAAGAGCTATTTCAAAGGTGGAGAGTTGAAAACAGAATGTAAGGCAGGCTCCCACTCATCTTAACTCAATTTCAGCTCAGCACCCTGAGTATTGGGAGAAGCACTCCATCGTGGACTCTGAACACCCTTGAGTTCTTTTTTTAACTTGTTCTTATTGAGCTATACATTTTCCCCCATCCCCCTTCCCTTATCCTCTCAACTCAGTCTTGAACTTATCATCCTCCTGCCTCAACCTCTCTAGTAGCTGGGATAACAGGTCTCTATGACAGGTTTGGCTTTCACTATTGTACTTTCATTGAAATCACTTGAAGGTACTATTTTCATTTTTTAATAATTAATGATGAAAATAAACATTACAGTTGAAAGAATTTACCCAGGTGTGGTGGTGAACACCTCTAACCCCAGCATTCTGGGAGGCAGAGGCAGGTGGAGCTCTGTGAATCTGAGGCCAACCTGGTCTACATAATGATTTTCAGGATAGTCAGGGCTACATATAGACAATAAAACAAAACAAAAAAGTTGAAAGAATTATACATTGAACAGCCTCTATGGACATCAACTACATTCTACAATATTTGATTTGCAGTTTCATATTTATTTATTTATATAATAAAGCAAATATGAAATCAGTAATATTTACAATATTGGTTCTACAGCATTTTACTACATTTGCATTATTGCAAACTGATTGTGTTATCTATCCATCATCAATCTTACTGCTCTTTTTAATTTTTTCTTTTTTGGCCTTGAAGTGATCCTCACAAGTGCTGGGATTACAGGCATGCACCACCACTCTCCATTTCAATTTACCTTTTTTAAAAACTTTTTTTCAACATAAATTGCAGATATTATTGTATTTAATCCCCAAACATTTCAGCATGTATTTTACTGAGTTCAATTTTTGTTTTGTTTGCTTAAGACAACGTTTCTCTATGTAGCCTTGGCTGTCCTGGAACTCGCTCTATAGACCAGGCTGGCCTTGAACTCATAGACTCATCTGCCTGCTTCTGCTTCCCTGAGCCACTGAGATTAAAGACCCAACTCTGGGTTCAATATTTTATTGTTCTTTTGTTCTTTCAAGATTAAAAAGAAAAAACTCAATTAAATGAATAGATCTTAAGTATGCATAAGCCAGTTTTCAAACAAATTACTTAATAGCTTGTATGTTTCTTGTATGGTAGCATACACCTTTAAGCCCAGATGGATCTCTGAGTTCGAGGCCAGCCTGATCTACAGAGCAAGTTCCAGGACAGCCAGGGATACACAGAGAAACCTTGTCTTCAATTAAAAACAAAAAAGATACAACTCTTAAAATATGAAATGTTCTTCAATAGTCTACCTGGTTATTAGTGGTACCCACACTGCCTTTCAAGCTATGGAGACCTACATTGTTTCCTTCAACTCTCCCAGATACCCTGGGCCTTGTTACCATGACAAGAGTCCCAGAACAGCTATAGATGATGGGTAAAGTACTCTAGGGTTCAATGCAATGTAGCACACCTGCCTTGCCCTGTGACTGCATCTTGTAGTTTGTGAACTTCCTTGTCCCTGTCTGTCCCTCTGCCACTGTCTTCCTCCCACGGCCTTCAGCTGCCCTGCTCCAAATCTCTTTTTGCACAGTATGGGGAATGAATCCAGGGCCTTGCCTCATACATGCTAGGCAAGAACGCTGCCACTGAGTCATATACACAGTTCTTCAGTTGTCCCCTGGATGCTCCCCATCCCCTCCCTCTGCTGGGCTCAGAACATGATACTCAAATAGGGGATTTTAGCAGCTGAGAGATCCAACAAAGCAAATCACTCTGACTTTCCTCCACCTTTCTCTGTGCCAGCTGGCCACAAAGGAACTAGAACTGAGGCATAATAAATACTTTCATGCTATAGGAGCCCTGGCCAGGACTCGGAGGCCCAAAAGAATCTGGCAAGGCCTTACTGGTCCCCTCCCTGTTGCCCTGGGGTGGGGGTGGGGACAGGAGATTTAATCCAGGGTCTTGTACATGCTACACCCCAGCCTACCCCTTGTTCATTACCACTAACCAGAACCCTTCCTGCCCAATCCTATTTCTACACGCTGTCCATTCCTTATCCAGTCTAAGCACAGTAGAATAGGTTCCTGCATCCCATCAACTTGTTCTGCTTTTCTCATTAATCTGAAGACAGGTGAGGAAGATATTCTCCAGCTGTTCCTGTAGCCCTGATCCTTTATTTGTTTTCTCTCCAGAGTGTGGACATGGCCACGGGAAGAGTCTCCCCCACCAGGAGCCTTTGCCTCACGCTAGCACCCAGATCCCCGTGACCACAGAGGGGACACCTCCAGACACAAGCACCCCTGCACAGATTCAGAGTACCCACCAGTCCACTTTTCCATCTGGTGCACTGTCCTTGAACAAAGAGCTCACCCCCCACAGTGAAACCACTGCTGTCACTTCAGGCTATGAAACCACTGCTGTCACTTCGGGCTATGAAACCACTGCTGTCACTTCAGGCTGCGATCCAGAAGCTAGACCTAAGGCTAAGGCAAATAAAAAACAGCAAGAGAACAAACAGCAAAAAGAAAAACCAGAATCTTCAGCTGGCACACCAGGCTTGGTACCAGTGCTGTCCCTCCTGGTCATTGTTTTCTTTCTCACAGCAGCCGTGGTCTATATGCTGTGCACCAGGAGGAGAGTGAGGCAGCAGCGTTCTGCAGGTAAATGAGACTCCGAAACCTCACCTCAGGGACCCAGAGCCAGACTGCTAACAGAGGCACACAAATAGTAAGGCTGTGAGGGACGAGTCAGCCAGCGTGTACTAGGTCTTAAGGTTAATTAATGTCTGGGAGTCTGATTCCCCAATTCAGTTCATGTCCTGCCTCAGTTCTCCTTCATCTCAGAGTTCATCTACAAATTTCTTTATCCTTTCCAGATCTGCAGCTCCGTTATGCACCTGTAAACCAAGACTCCAGAGCCTGAAACAAGAATGGAAGCTTGGGAGAAGGCTCAGGAGACGGCAGTAGACTGTGTTCTATCAACCAACTGTCCCTTCGTTCATTCTCCCTTAAACTGAGACAAAGCACTCATCTCATAATCCAGGACAGCTTTGAGTTACTCATTCTCATTCTCTAGGTTCTGGGATCACAGACATATGACGAATCTGCCCTAATTTACCTCTGTAAATAATGTATACATTTTTTAGAGTTTTGTTTAGCCTGCCTCAAATTCTTATGTATCTGAGGTTGACTACTGATCCTTCTGCCTCCACTTCCATAGTGCTGGAATTACACACTTGCTAAACAGCTTTTATTTTATTTTATTTTTTGAGACAGATTTCACTATTCAGTCCTGGCTTTACAGTGTTGGGATTAAAGGACTGTACCTGGCCCTTGAGAAACACTCTTTTGTTTTGGGGGTTTATTTGGTTTGGTTTTTTGAGATAGAGTTTCTCTTTGTAACAGCCTTGGCTGTCCTGAAATTCACTTTGTACACCAGGCTGACCTCAAACTCACAGAGATCCACCTGCCTCTGCCTCCTGAGTGCTGGAATTAAAGGTGTGTACTACTTTTAATGATTAATAATATATGAGTAGCCCCACTGCCCTTAGTCCTCTCCCCTGTGGCTAATAAAATGTAATACTCTAAATTATGTGGTCTAAAAGTACGGTCCCTTTGTAGAGTGCCTGCCTCACATGTGTAAAATTCTAGGTTCAGTCCTCTCACTATGGATACATTAATTTTTAAAAATGTCTGTTTTATACATTGTATAGCAATAAACTGGACAAATTCTATGTTTTTACCTATAATACTAAAAATTGCTTTTAGAGTTAGTGGCTGAGGGTTGGAGGGATGACCCAGCAGTTTAGAGCAATAGTTCTTTGCAGAGGACTCGTGTGCTGGACACCACCATATTGTAACTCCAGTACCTGGGGATCTGATAACCCTTCTCTGACCTCTACAGGCACCAGGTATGCACATATACATACAAAAGCAAACCATTACTCAGCCACATAAATCTAACTTTTTTTTTTTTTTTTAACAACTATTGACTTCTGCAGACACCGGCTTCAGTCTTTGTCCCCTTAGAAGTGCTGATGGCGTCCCCAGGCCACAAGTTCCCTTCCCACTACACCAGCTGTTCTCTAATCCCACACTGAAAGCTTAGGCTGTCTTCTCTCCCTTGTTAGCAGCTGCTGTGCTGATTGATTCACTGATTCTGTACAGGCCGGACTCACTTCCTCAATCTCCTGGATCACTCATATACACCCAGAGAAAGAGTATGATCTCCATTAAAAAAAAAAAAAAAAGTTACAGCTTTTATTATTAAAACACAGTTCCTATTTTTGTTTCTTCTGAAGAGGAACAACGCTTCTCTCTCCCTCTCTCTCTCTCTTTTTTTTTTTTTTTTTTTGGTTTTTTGAGACACGGTTTCTCTGTGTAGCCCTGGCTGTCATGGAACTCGCTCTGTAAACCAGGCTGGCCTCAAATGCACAGAGATCTGCCTGCCTCTGCTTCCTGAGTGCTGGGACAAAGCCACCGTCAGGCTCCACAACTCTTTTTGAGGAAGACTCCTGCTATGTACTTAGCCCCAGTTGGTCTCAAACTGTAGCAATGTTCCTACCTCCCCTTCCCAAATGTTGGGATTACAGATGTGAGCCACCATGCCTGCTTATGAGAATATTTTTATTGGGGAGCTGGAAAGATGGCTCAGAGTTTAAGAGGGCTGACCGATCTTCTAGAGGGTCCAGGTTCAATTCCCCGAATCCACTTGGTAGCTAACTACCTTCTGTGACTCCATTTCCAAGGGGATCCAACACCCTCTTCTGGCTTCCATGGGCATTGCATATATGTGGTGTACAGACATACATGGGAGGAAAATAACCATACTTGTAAAATAAAAATAGATTTTTATTGGGCCAAGTCTTCTGGAACTCTAGGGCAGGGTGTGCATGAGGAAGTGGGTTAGGCAGCTGTGTCTCTGACTCCTGTCTGTGCTTGTGTAGTGGAAAGCAGGGCTATCTTGCCGGAGGAGCCACTACAGATCTGTGGGCACACTTGGGCTTTAGAGTCTCCAGTTCTTTCTGCCCCGTGGTCCACGGCCGCCCTGACCAGTAGGGCATGTATGTATTACTCTGCTCCCATCCTACCGGTCTCTGGGTTCTGTCCCAAGGTGCAGGTCACACTCTATATCGTCTTGACTTAGTTCTCCAGCATCTGTTCACAGGTTCGTACCACATCACTGATCTTGAGGCGGGCATAGTCTACTCGCTTTAGCGCCATTTGACAATCCTTCCTGGAAGAGTAGCTGGAGCCCTCATGGGGCTGTCCTGTGGCCACCTACAGGACAGTTAGATCTATCAGTGGAGCATTGCCTCTCTTGAACATCCCACAACCAGGCATCGGATCTCTGGTCTCATTTCTTTCCTGAGTTTGATCCACCTTAGCTGTGAGGTAGCTCAGTGATCTAAGGCAAACGACTCAACCCCTAACCCATGTGAACCTCATCTGTGAAATGCGGACGGCACCGAGTACTTCCTAAAGTTAGAGAATATGACACCGAAGAGTGCCCAGCACATCACAAATGTTAGCAAATACTGGTAGCTAGAGTAAGGACTTTAAAATCCTCTAGTGCTGTCTCTTACTTGGTCCCCAAGCATAAGGAGCCTCACACACGACATCAGGCCATGTTTCTGGGAACAAAGTCCAATGGCTTCAGATTTATTTTTTGTTCAGCACTGGGGCCTCCTGTACGGTAAGGCAAGTGTTCTAACCCGGGGCCCCGCCCTCTTTTTTACCTACTGGTACTAAATTGGCCCAGACAGGTTTTGAACTTGTGATCCTCGGGCCTCAGCTTCTTGAGTGGCTAAGATTACAAGCCTATGCCACCTGGTCTGGTTAGGTATTGTTTATACAACCTAGGTACTTTTAATCCCTAGCTTTTAAACCTCCCCTGAAATGAAAATTCCTAGGAGGCAAGATCCAGTTAAAGCTCAGGGGAATCCCTAGGCTGTGGCTGTAGTGGAGATCGGGGGTCGGCGCCCAACACCTTCTAAACACACCCACCTGGGTTAGGTAGCGGATCTGAGCAGACAGCTCCGCCTCCACGTGCTGTACAGAAGTGGTGAAGGCTGAGGCCTGCCGGTCTAAAAGCCGCTCGTTGGTTTTTTCCTTGGACAGTTCCAGGATGGCCGTTCCTGCCAGGGCGGGGAGAGGGCGGAGTTAGACAGAGAAGGGGCCGTAGCCCCGCCCTAAGGCTCGCACTCAGGTCCCGCCCGCACCGCGCGCGGAGTCCCGGCTGGCCTTCTTGCTGGCCGATTCGCTCCCCCCTTCCTGAACCTGCGTTCTGGAGGATGGCGCCGATTTCGCGCTCGATGTCCTCCAGGGCGCGCAGCCGCTCGTTCGCCAGGCTGTAGGTAGCCATGGTTCTCGTGGAAATTCCCGCAGACCGTCTTTTTACAGATGAGGCGCCGAGGCCCGGAAATACCTCTTAATGTGCGGCTGCGCAGAAGCCACTTGTAAGGAACACTACAATTCCCAGGATGCTCGGCGCGGCCTCGCCCTTCCGGGTCCACCTGGTCTACCATGACTTCCAAGGCTCTAGTACCGGGCCAGATCGCGGGTGGAAAGAGGCAGTATTAACTTTTTTGTTTTCTGACGGGGGTCTCATTGTAGACAACGCTGGAACTCACAGAAATGAAGATACTCTAAAGAGACACCTGTGTCTCTTCATTCTATCAGACTGTTGAAACAATGAACCCCAAAGAAATGGATATTTTCCTAGGAATCTCAGGCTAGGAGAAGGAAAGGGCACCATCCAGAGGAGGGATTTGTCTTCCGGAAAGAGATTTCACACAGTTCTAACAACTTGAAAA